GGGGGGTCCTGGCAACGGTTAACGGTAAATTCAGCAGGGCCGATAACGCTTAACGGTAAATTCAGGACGGTCGGCAACGCTTAACGGTAAATTGACAGGTCTTTTTTTCGAGCTGCACTGGATTTGGTATCTCGCTTTGTGAGAAAAGGTAATCACTGACAAAATTACGTATACCTTACATGTTATGAAGCATGCATTAAAGGTATGTGTTCCCTGTGTTTCCCACCTGCCCTGGTCCCCGAGTGCGTGCACAAATACCCGGTGTCCGAGTCGACGTCGGCCAGCTTGCATTTTTTCAGTCTGCCCCAGTTTTACCGATGGAAATTTAGGGATTTTTAAACCTTACAAAAACGCAATTTCCCGCATTTTGAGAGGCAAATCATGGTGTTGAGAGTGTTTGTCGGTCCTTCTGATGTTTTCATATTTTACTCAAGATTTTGTTAATTTGCCTGTCAAGGTTGACGGATTCGTTAAAAAATTCTGTAACTCTCCGCAAACTTCCGGAAATTGAAGGTTATACTGATTCTGGCTAGAGCCAAAGGGCAGAAGCGCGAGTCGAGCGCCAAAGTCGCGAGCAATGTAGGGGGGTCCGGGGGCATTCTCCCCAGGGAAATTTTGTAGTTTTAAACCTTCAATGACGCATTTTCCTGCACTTTGATAGGCAAAATTAGGCGTAACGAAGAATTATTCATTAACGCTTAACGCTGAATTCAGGATGACAAATAACGTTTTACGTTCAATTAAAACGACCGATAACGCTTCACGAGGAATATACTGATAACGCTTAACGTTGAATTAGAGCGGGCCGGCAACGATTAACGGTAAATTAAAATAGCCCATAACGGTTAACGAAAAAGGGCATGCAGACCCTCCAGTAAGTCTGAATCAGAAATGCCTCAGGCCACACCAATTTAATTTGTTGGTTCTCGGATTTTTTCCTTGAAAAATATGAAGCGACAGGGCGAAAAAAAAATTACAAACAGGTCTAGGCATCCTATTGTAGCCCCTAATGCTACGATAGTCAACACAAAAGGCTGGGTCAATATCTAAACAATGAATTTTGAACTTTTAATAAAACCACTTCATTGATAGATGGAAAATTAATGTCATCCATAAAAATTACTGCCGTGGCCTTACGGAAATTTCCACCATTATATAAGAAACTCCGAAAAAAATAAAGAAAAGAAACGATGAATTAACTTCGAGTGGCCGCCCGGAAGTGACGTCGCTAAAGCGGAAGTGAAACAGGTGCAGGACCCCGAGGCATGACGGGATAGACCGTCCCAGCCAAGATGGCGGACATATTGTTGTGTGAAACCAGAATTTTCTGATTTCGGTCCCGACATTTCCGAAAGCAGGGTTGTTAAACTGCGAAGATGGCTTCGAGCGGTCCCGACAACTCCCAAGTAGGTTTCTGTCAGGTTGTTTTCTTACTTCAGTCAAATCTGCCGAAAATATCGGCGCCGATCTCTTCCAGATTTGGTGACGAAATAATTCATATCATGTTGAAACAAGTTTTCCGCTTTCTCTTTCAGTCATCGAGATCGAGTGAGACAATTTCTATCAATTTTTTTGTGAACACTTTTGAGACTTAGAGACAATTTTATGCCAAACATGGTTGTTGTTATTGTTGTAATGTGCACATACACATAAGCACAGCATTGAACAACTAGCCTGGGCATGTCTGAATTCACAAAACTGTATTACTGTCAAATTTCACTCAAACCACAACAAAAATTATATCTATTCAGTGACTTTATGCAGTGCCAGAAACCATTTATAATTTTATACATTCGTGTTTTGGAGCAAATAACACGCAAATTTACATACACAGCTCCAATTTTACCTGCACTATCCTGCATATACCCAGTACATGGGCCAGTGCAGGTAGACATCAGAAATACCTGCACTGCTCCAATTTTACCTGCACTAACCTGCATATACCCAGTACATGGACCAGTGCAGGTTAGGTGCAGATAGACATCAGAAATACCTGCACAGCTCCAATTTTACCTGCACTAACCTGCATATACCCAGTACATGGACCAGTGCAGGTTAGGTGCAGGTAGACATCAGAAATACCTGCACAGCTCCAGTTTTACCTGCACTAACCTGTATATACCCAGTACATGGACCAGTGCAGGTAGACATCAGAAATACCTGCACAGCTCCAATTTTACCTGCACCAAGGATCTTAGAAATTGCCCACACTAACCTGCATATGCAGCTGCAGGTTTGAATTCTTAATGTAATTTAAGCCATGGAGTGTTATAGCAATGCCTATGGTGCATGGAGATTAAGACAGAAAACCCTTATATATACTATATGTAATATAATATGATATGACCATGTGATGTTTGTTTTACTTTTAATTGTCTCTCTCTTCAACTGCAGACATGATATGACTTTATGAGGATAGGTTCTTTCTCAGTCCTAACTTCAAAATGGCGTAATGGATGTCAAATAAATATAAGCTCTTGCTTTAATGGAGCTCCCTCCATTCCCTACAAAAGGTATGGAAAGCTCCAATCAAGAAACAGACAAAAACTAAAGTGTTTAAAGCATGCATATATGTACAGAGACTATTCTACTCTACAACTCAGAGTCATGGGCTATGAATGCTGCCCAGAGCAAGAAACTAGATGGTACATATACAAGAATGTTATGTATAATTTAATATAATGTTTCATGGAGACAACATCTAACAAACAAACAACTCTATGGCTCTCTCCCGCCCATTTCATCTGTAGTCCGACGACGTAGACTCGCCCTGGCAGGGCATGTTGTTCGTAGTAACGAACCAGCTGGTAGACTAGTACAGTGACTTCCTTCTGGGAGACGTAGAGTGGGACGTCCTTATACTACACTGTTGTCCATGTTAGAGAGAGACACTGGTCTCGCAGGGCCTGCATTAGTGTCCGCTATGAGAGATAGGACATACTGGAGTAACTTTATCAAGTGTACCTTACAGGATTAGTATAATCCGGAGGCATGATGATGATGATAAAATATAAGACACGGCATTAACTAGATCAAAGTTTCAAACTGCAACAAGAAGCTCTGCTCAGATCCTGTGAAGTTCCTCAATTTATATCAGTATTCTGTTATAAATGGACTTGTCTCCCTACAAATGTGTGGATGTTTCCACATTAACTATTTTGTAAAGTCTACAGTTTTCAACTGAAGATATTGATAAAATATTCAGCATGATTGGTGTTTACAGGTATCAAATGGATTAGTGCCAAATATAAGAAATTCTTACTGTGATACTCAACATATACTATCATCACTACTACCATTGGTACCATGTCGTATCAACATATACATATCTCACCAGGCTGTTTGAGCGTAGGGGCCCCCTACGCTGTGATTTTGACCCCCTACGCTGTGATTTAGCCCCCTACACTGTGTTTCAACCAGCGTAGGGGTGGTTTTTGGGGGCAGAAGCTTTATTAATCTTTAAAAAAATGAAAATATAACTTAAGAATGAAGCTATAACAGAGGGAAAACAAAATCTGTCCCCCAATAAACAATAAATAGTGTCTTAAGTGGTTAATATGAGTAACAAAATTTTTGGGGAGAATATCAGGCCCATGTTTTGGGGACTTGGTGTGTGACTCGTGCCACAGAAAGTTGCCCTTCTATACCTGACTCCTACGCTGTGAAAAAATCCTGGTGAGAACCCTGATATAGTACCCAGTGTTCTCGCCAGGCCTTTTGAGCATAGGGGCCCCCTATGCTGTGATTTGGACAGCCCTGAGCTAGCCCGCTGGTAGTGTGTTTTGACTCTTTCTCACAGATGCTGAGTGTTTAAGCAGAGAAGGCAACTTATGTACCATTTCTAAAGGCTTTGGTACGCCCAGGCCGGGGTTTGAACTCACAACCTCCTGGTTACTAAGCGAGCACACACGTTTCTGTTTCCCGCTGTGGTTGTCTGTAACCATGGTAACGTGTTCTGTTTTCCGCAGTGGCTGTCGGTTACCATGGTAACGTGTTCTGTTTCCCGCAGTGGCTGTCGGTTACCGAGGAGACGCTGTTCCTGCACGACGGGCTGATCAGGGTCACTGACCTCGTGGAGCTGCCGCAGGACGTCCAGGCCGGCAACGCAACGGCCACACCCGACAACGGACACGAGGTAAATAACGGCTTATTCTTCTTCTATTAAACAAACAAACAAACTGTACCAGGACGTCCAGGCCGACAACGCAACGGCCACGCCCGACAACGGACACGAGGTAAATAACGGCTTATTCTTCTTCTATTAAACAAACAAACAAACTGTACCAGGACGTCCAGGCCGACAACGCAACAGCCACGCCCGACAACGGACACGAGGTAAATAATGGCTTATTCTTGAGGTATACTGTGCAACGCCCCTCTAGATCTGTTGGGTTAAGATGCACGGGGGGGAGTGTGCTGTGTCCTTATTGTTTCCTCAGGTGCAAGAATACAGCTCCCTTGGAGTGTGGGTTTTGTGATGTTAAGAGGGGTTTAGTTTCCTTTTGTCTGTAAACTTTCTTAGGATGGAATTGGTTGGCCTCTTCAAACAGGTCCTTACTTTCGTGATCGTTATAACAAATGAAAAACTTGTACAACGTCCTGTGTTCTAAAACACCTACTGTTAATTAAAACTTGAATTAAAACTTGAACACTCTTTCAATAACCTAAGTTAAGTAGAACTTTACAAATTAGTCCCTTCTTCACCATTTTCAAAAATCATACTAAAGTAGCTTTCATAAGTAACCCCACACATTCCTAATTTTTGTTTATGTTTCCTTGTTTACTACTTTCATTACTACTTTTCATTATTGTAGATAGTATTGTATCATATTGTATTTTATTGTTTTGTTTCATTTACCCGTTACCTAAGTTATTTCTTATTTATCCGATTTATTTGAATTGTTAATCATGTTATGAAGGGAGGCCTTCTCATAAGCATTTTATGCTTCTGGCCTCCCTGCACTGTTACATTTCATTTATATTTTCTTGTATTTGTAATGTTACATTTTGTTTTAAAGTGCGAAATAAACTAAACTAAACCTCCTGTGTTCTCTAACCTCCAGGTGGTGACGTTTGACTCGAAGAGCCCGGCTGAGCTGTGTGAGAAACTTCTCGCCGTCTGCGGGAACCAGAACAACGAGTACTCCCTGCTCCTGGAGTACCGACTTAACGCGCTCCGGGGGCTCTGGGTCGCACAGAGGCAGCAGCAAGGCGAGGACCAGGCCGACCAGGACGGACTGAACCACGAGGAAACACTCGCTCTGCTGAAGAAACAGGGGATATGGCAGCCGGGGGAACAGGTAAACAAACAAACAAACAAACTGTATTGGGGAGCAGGTAAACAAACAAACAAACAAGCAAACTGTAGTGTAGGGTAAGGCTAAACCACAAGGAGACCCTCGCTCTGCTGAAGAAACGGGATATGGCAGCCGGGGAAACAGGTAAACAAACAAACTGTACTGGGGAACAGGTAAACAAACAAACAAACAAACAAACTGTAGTGTAGGGACTGGCTAAACCACGAGGAGACCCTCGCTCTGCTGAAGAAACAGGGGATATGGCAGTCGGGGGAACAGGTAAACAAACAAACAAACTACTGGGGATCAGGTAAACAAACAAACTGTACTGGGAACAGGTAAACAAACAAACAAACAAACAAACTGGGGAACAGGTAACACCAAACATCAAACCACAGTACCAACACAAGTGACTGTGAAAAATTGTCAAAATTAAATCTGTTCCTTAGTTCAATGAAGGCTGGAGCGTCAGTTGAATTTTCAGGTGTCATTCTCATCCCGTGTGAGCCTGCAATACCAGCTGCATCAGACAGAGGGCATCCCTGACTGGTGTTGTATTTTCAGGTGTCGTTCTCGTCTCGTGTGAGCCTGTAGTTCCAGCTGTAGCAGACAGAGGGCGTCCCTGACTGTTGTTGTATTTTCAGGTGTCGTTCTCATCTCGTGTGAGCCTGTAGTTCCAGCTGTAGCAGACAGAGGGCGTCCCTGACTGGTGTTGTTGTATTTTCAGGTGTCGTTCTCGTCTCGTGTGAGCCTGTAGTTCCAGCTGTAGCAGACAGAGGGCGTCCCTGACTGGTGTTGTTGTATTTTCAGGTGTCGTTCTTGTCTCGTGTGAGCCTGTAGTTCCAGCTGTAGCAGACAGAGGGCATCCCTGACTGTTGTTGTATTTTCAGGTGTCGTTCTCGTCCCGTGTGAGCCTGCAGTACCAGCTGCAGCAGACAGAGGGCATCCCTGACTGGTGTTGTATGTTTCCCCAGGTGTCGTTCTCGTCCCGTGTGAGCCTGCAGTACCAGCTGCAGCAGACAGAGGGCATCCCTGACTGGTGTTGTATGTTTCCCCAGGTGTCCTTCTCCTCTCGTGTGAGCCTGCTGCTGATTTTCCCCCTGCTGAAGTCCCAGAGCCGCTCGGACCCGAGTCTGTGCTGCATGACTGCAGAACTCTTGCTGCAGGTCAGTACAACTAAATTTCCAGCAATTTGTGCTTCTCCTCCATGAATAGTTTCATCAGGTTGGTCACTGAGTAAAAAGACTCTTTTTCCCAATATTGTACATCTGGGAATGCATCTATAGCAGTGACACCTGTGCTGCAGTGCAATGTAAACCAGTCAGAATTGCCCTGAGGAAGTCACCAAAATGAGGGCTGTGAATGAAAGACTTGATTGTTTAAAAAGAGTTTCTTTACTCAATTTGTGCTTCTTTTAACTTGCCAAGCTGCAAGGTGTTTATGTTTCGTTTTTCTTCACATTACAGTACCGACTGCAGAAGACAGAGGGCGCTGGTGTTATGTTTTCCCACAGTGCCTGCAGGACTGTGCAGTACCAGCTATAGCAGACAGAGGGCCCCCCTGACTGGTGTTGTTATATTTTTTTGCAGTGCCTACGAGACTGTGCACCTCTCAGCCTGCAGTACCAGCTGTAGCAGACAGAGAGCGCCCCTGACTGGTGTTATATTTTTTTGCAGTGCCTACGAGACTGTGCACCTCTCAGCCTGCAGTACCAGCTGTAGCAGACAGAGAGCGCCCCTGACTGGTGTTATATTTTTTTGCAGTGTCTACGGGACTGTGCACCTCTCAGCCTGACCAAGGAGCCTTCAGACTGTCTGAACGGACTCGAGAGCCTTCTGTGCTCTTAGCCTGCAGTACCAGCTATAGCAGACTGAGGGCGCCCCTGACTGGTGTTGTTATTTTTTTTCAGTGCCTACGAGACTGTGCTCCTCTCAGCCTGACCAAGGAGCCTTCAGACTGTCTGAACGGACTGGAAAGTCTTCTCTGCTCCTGGCTGGAAGAGGGGGAGGGGGGCGCCAGTGGGCCAGTACAGGACGTACAGCAAAGAGAGAATGCTGCAGCAGCTCTCGTGGCCTTGGCTTGTGCACGGTGGGTCTGTTTGTTTGTTTGTCTGTTGTTATTTACTGTGTGCTCGTGGCCTTGGCTTGTGCACGGTGGGTCTGTTTGTTTCTGATGTGCTCGTGGCTGGAGGAGGGGGAGGGGCAATCTGCAGTACCAGCTCCTACAGACAGAGGGCACCCCTGACTGACTCATGGTGCAAGTTTATATGTCCCCAAAGGTTCGCTACAGTTCCAGTTCCTACAGACAGAGGGCACCCCTAACCCATGTTGTATGTTTGTATTGCAGAGGTTCGCTGAAGACCCTGCTGCACACAGTACACCTGTTGCAGAGACTGCAGACCACGCTGTCGCCCCTCCCCGTAGCCGAGCTGCAGTACCAGTCCCTACAGACAGAGGGCACCCCTAACCCATGTTGTTGTATGTTTGTATTGCAGAGGTTCTCTGAAGACCCTGCTGCACACCGTACACCTGTTGCAGAGACTGCAGACCACGCTGTCGCCCCTCCCCGTAGCCGAGCTGCTGTTCAAGCTCCTACAGACAGAGGGCGGTCCTGGGCTGACCACGTCCTTATTAGGCAGTAAGCACCTGCTGTGCTGGGGCTTCGAGGACATGCTCACCAACATCGACAAGGGGCCGGACGATAAGGATAAAGGTCAGTAGTACAGTACTGCACTCACTCACTATCCAGTTTAGTGTCTGTTGTTCCCCGTGTTCTGAGGGTTAGACGTGCTTGCACACTGGTGCTGGGGCTTGTTGGCAGCCTGCCACTTGTCTCTGTCCTGTGGGTTGATGTTATGCAGGTTAAGGTGGTGGAAGTCCTCCCTTATGTTGTCCATCCATCTCTTCCTTGGATTTGGCCTTCCACATGGTCTTTCTGGGCCACTTCTCACTGTCCATTCTTCGGAGGTGGCCATACCATCTTAGTCTTAGCATGTTCTGGATGCTATGGAATTCCAGTCTGAATCGTAACTGTTTAGTTGACTGATTGGATTGGAGTGTGTTTTTGACTGTTTTGTACGTTCCAGACACGGAGATCGGGCGGAACCTTGCGTGTGACGGCTGCTTCCTGTACACGACCAACTCGGAGGGCCGCGGACTCAGCAAGATCGGCTCTGGGCTGCATGGGACTCTCAGGTAATGTTACAGGCAGGGTGATGGGGACACCTGTTAGGACTTGAGAGGGCCCGAAGGGTTTGCATGACTCCCACCACAGAACGCAACATTGCCTGCATCTTCGATGCTGCTATAGATGTAGTTTTGTCTGTGCGGCATATAGCAGTATCTGTAAGGGAGTGAGATTTGCCATTACTGAGTGTGTGTGTATGAGTCTGTGTGTGTGTGACTGTGTATGTAGGTGTGTGTGTGTGTGATTGTGTGTGTGTGTCTGTGTGTGAGTGTGTGTGTGAGGGGGTTACTGACTGCTGCTATTTTACAGAGAATTCCTATATGCCTGTGACCTCTCCCTGGAGCAAGGCAGGGTGGTGTCTGCATGTGTGTGTGTGCCTGTGTGTGTTTGTGTGATTGTGAGGGTGTGTGAGGGGTTTACTGACTGCTCCTGTACATGTATTACAGAGGATTCCTGTATGCCCGAAACCCCTCGTTGGAGCAGGGCTGGGTGGTGTGGGGGGGCGGCCGCCTGGTGCACCGACCGGCAAACTTCGACGGGAAACAGAAAATCCTGCTCAACATCCTCAGTCCACACACCTTACAGGTAAACTTCACACCAATTCTTTAATTTTCTAGAAAGTTCCTTAAATAGAAATCAGCATTACCACAATCATCAGATTGTCTATGCAGTTCACATAGAAAAAACAGCTAATAAGAATGTGTGATGTGTGTATGTTTTACATGGCAGACCCTCACTTTTGTACATCTCTGTAGAGCGACTGTTCTCTGTATATGTACACTGTATGTTGTAGATTTGAGCACTCTACTGGCTGTCTCTGGCTTGTGTAGTGAAGTGTTTGGAAAGTAAATGTCTGATGCCATCACTGGAAAGTGCCCTGAAGAAGGCGACAGACGGTCACCAAAACTATGGGTGTAAAACCCACTGAGTTGTTAGATGAAGAATCTTCATCTTATCATGAAAGTTCATCTGTGTTTTTAGTAATCATAGTAAAACATTGAACTTTATTCCTAACACAAAGGGTTACCAAATCACTTTACAACGTTATCTCGCAAGAGTGAATAAGGTCACGTGTTTGTAAATCGTAACTCTCGCGAGATAACGTTGTAATTTGATTGGTCATTAATTATCCTGATGAAGGCGACAGTGGTCGTAGAAAATTTGATCACCCTGTAACCCTTGTGTTGGAATAAAGTTCAATGTTTTACTATGAATCTTCATCTTGTACTAACCCTCCCCCCTCTTCTGTCCCCAGTGTATAGCGTCCGTTCCCGCGCCTGATGAATACGTTAGCGGTTCGGCCGTCACAACTCTCGCTCTCACCAGTGACGGCGTAAATTTCTACTGGGTCTGGAGCCCGGCCCTCGTCTCCGACAAAAACGTGCGAAACCCACCGGTGTACATGGATACATTCAGGCTACAGGTGGGTTTCTCTTTCTCTTTTTTAAAAATTATTTCTCTTTATTTCCATGCCCTTTAGCCCTAAAGGCTAATGTTCTAGGGCTCATGCAGAAACAAAAACACGTATACAACATGGTACAAACACACATTTAGCAAAAAAAAGAAATTATGTACAATTGAAACTTAAGTAAAATGATCTTCATACTAGTCAGAGAACCTAATATGAACAGTTGGCGGATGGTTTTTTTAAAGTTTGACCTACTGGAAGGTGTTTTGATGTGTTGTGGTAGTTTGTACCAAACATGGATTGCCCATGATTGCCACTTAAACGTTCTGTTTGTACTGTTGTTTTGGAAGCCTTAAAGTCTTTCATTTGTACATAATGTAAATTTCTTTTTGTGCTAGATAAAAAGCGAATCAAGAGAAGAGTGTATTGTGTTTTATTCCAGGACGAGGACGGTTCTGTCATTGCCGTTGCCATGGCAACTCGCGTGACGCTGCAGAGGAAGGAAGGCGACACGTCAAAGTCGCTGAACGAGGCTCTTCTGTCCCGCCTGCGCCCGTACACACGGTCAACCTCGGCGGCCTCTCTCATCGCACTGACGGGGGGCAACACCACGCCTACTGGGGGTGCCAGGGAGGAAACCTCCAGTAAGTACTTACTACTGTTACTGCTACTGTACAGTAACTACAGTACTGCTGCAATTACTGCTGTAACAGTAACCCTTCCCTCATCGCGCTGACGGGCGGCAACACCACGCCTACTGGGGGTGCCAGGGAGGAAACCTCCAGTAAGTATTTACTGCTACTGCTACTGTACTACTACAGTACTGCTGCTACTACTACTACTACTACTTACTACTGTAACAGTAACACTTCCCTCATCGCGCTGACGGGGGGCAACACCACGCCTACTGGGGGTGCCAGGGAGGAAACCTCCAGTAAGTATTTACAACTGTTACTGCTACTGTACAGTAACTACAGTACTGCTGCAATTACTGCTGTAACAGTAACCCTTCTCTCATCGCGCTGACGGGTGGCAACACCACGCCTACTGGGGGTGCCAGGGAGGAAACCTCCATGTAAGTAGCTACAGTAACTACCAATGCTACTGTACACTAACTACAGTACTACTGCTGCAATTACTGCTGTAACAGTAAAGCATTTCTCATCGCGCTGACGGGGGGCAACACCACGCCTACTGGGGGTGCCAGGGAGGAAACCTCCAGTAAGTATTACTGCTGTTACTGTACTACTACTAGTCTTCTACTGTTACTACTACTAACTACTACTACTACTGCCTACTACTATCAAACTACTACTACCTACTGGGGGTGCCAGGGAAGAAACCTCCAGAAGTCTCCAGCTGCCAGTATTTGTGGGTCTATTTGGATGTTTACATTTTTATTAGGCATGGTCAGTACAATATTTTCACCCCTCCTGTATTTGGGTGGTACATCCTAAGGCTGTTCCGTTGTGCTATTTTCCAGCTGCCAGCAGTTGTGGGCTGAGTCTGAAGCTCCTGCGCAGGACGCCTATCTACACCTGTGGCAGCACCCTGGTCATGCTCACAGCGCCCCCGGGCAGCAGCTCCAGTACTGCAGCGAGATCCTTATTTGGCAGCGGCACCAGCCTATCATCTCTCAGAGGTGAGACAGTATCAAATTACCAACCTAAAGGGTTACCAGGTATCAAATTACCATCAAAAGGGTTACCAGGTATCAAATTACCATCAAAAGGGTTACCAGGTATCAAATTACCAACCTATGTACAGGGTTAACGGATCCCAAATTACCAACTAAAAGGGTTACTAAGTCTCGAATTACCAACTAAAAGGGTTACCAGGTCTCAAATTACCAGCCTAAAGGGTTACCAGGTATCAAATTACCAACCTACAGGGTTAACGGATCCCAAATTACAGAACTTAAAGGGTTACTAACTAACTTAAAGTCTGAAATTACCAATTTAAGTGTTACCAGGTTTTTTTAGAAAGCATTGTTATGACCTAATGCAATGGTGGATTGTGTTTTAGATTGATTTATTGCGACCTAACAGTGGTTTGCATTGTAGATATCATTGTGTAATGACCCAATTGGGTTGTATTTTACTAACTTTAAGATAGCATTGTTATGACCTAACGCTGTTTTGTGTTTCCCCCAGTCCTGGCCACCAGCCTGTGTTTCAGCACGGCCAGTGGACAGTACACAAACCGGTGTGAACTGGTCGATGCTCCCACATGTTCCCTTGCTAGAGGCGCCGGCGTGCAGGGCCTTGGTATGTACCTCCATTTGTATGTATGTGTGTGTGTGTGCATGCGTGCGTGTGTTTTAAACAGCTACTTGAGCAACTTCAAGTTGATAGATTTTGATAGATTTTTGCTTTGATAGTTTATAGTTTTAATATTAATATGTTTTTTTTCTTGAGGGGAAATTGTTAATAATCACACAAGAGTCATTCCCAGTTGGTTGCAGATCGAGGCTGTTCCTTCTGTATTTTCCCGTGTTTTCTGTTCATTCAAAATTGGACAATGTTGTGTCCTGTTCAGACTGTGTGTTCTTATTTCCCACCTTTCCCATGCAGGTGTGTGTTACGATGCTGTGAATAACCTGATCTGGACGTGTTCTGGAGACTGGGTGGACCAGTGGCACAACCCGGGAAACCAGGCTCCACATCATGTCTGCAGGAGACTGGGCATCGATACGGACATACAGGAACCTCCCCAGGGTTAGTACACACTTCCTAACCGTAACCCAACCGGGCATTGACACAGACATACAGGAACCTCCACAGGGTTAGTTACCCCCAGGGGTAGTTACTGTTAGTTACTATAACTTAACTTCAGCATTAGTGCTGTAATACATACTCATTATAGCCTGTGTCTAGAGCACAGTATTAGAAGACAGAGCCCATCCCTCTACTTCCACTGCCTGGTGTGCCCATTTTACACCTGGGTGAAATGAGAAATGTGCCTTTCCCAAGGGTAAATGGAAATTGGAGAAATGATATTCAATGAAGTCTTGCTGCGCCCCCCCCAGATAACCTTGTGGCGTGTCCCGAGGTCATCAACCAGCTGATGCGGCACGTGGGGTTCAGCTGCTGCCACCAGCTGACCTCTGACCTCCTGAACACCGTGCTGGGGAAGATTCTGCTGCAGCAGCCCAACATCGACACCCGACACCTCGGCTGCGTCTGCGACATTCTGGACAGCGCAGTCAGCACACAGGACAGCAGGCTGACCTTGTGTGTGCTGATCGTCCTTCAGGTACAGCTGTTACTGTCTCAATGTTAACCTTGGCTACATGCAGGACAGCACAAGGTTACACACAGGACAGCAGGCTGACCTTGTGTGTGCTGATTGTCCTTCAGGTACAGCTGTTACTGTCTCAATGTTAACCTTGGCTACATGCAGGACAGCACAAGGTTACACACAGGACAGCAGGCTGACCTTGTGTGTGCTGATAGTCCTTCAGGTACAGCTGTTACAGTCGTAATGTGAAACTGGACTTCTGCAGGGCATCTCTTCCTTACACCTTTGCCACGTAACGTTACCTTACAGGTGAAGGTCGAAGTAGGTTTCTGCTGGTTTCTGATGATGTTGTTTGTTTCTTCAGGTGATTTTTAAATCCTTCATCTTCAAGAATGAGTCAGAGGAGGAGGCGGCACTCGTGAAGAAGACCAGGTAAAGTTTCGTTGTGGAAAGTCAGCTTATGAGCGATGTGTATGTGTGAGAGAATGAACGAGGCGTGTATGGGCAGATTCATTCAGCAGTCAGTCAATGGGTGGGAGGGGCTTCATCAAGGATGGTCGATTATAATGACTGGCCAATGGGGAGGGGCTTCATTGATTATAATAATCCACAGTCTATGGATGGGTCCACGAGAGAGAAATTGGTGTATGGTTAGGGTAGATCCATGGGTTGTTCGTACATTTTGTATGGATGGTGTCTTGGCATGTTTGAATGTTGTGTTCTAGAATGTTTAGGATGAGTATAGTGGAGTAGAGTATAATCCACCGGTTATTCCTGTTAGTATGGTGGTAAATTTCGTATAAATGCCAGTGCTGAAGTGACATGTTTGTTGTGTTTCCAGGACGTTGGTGTGGAGACTGCTGACAACGTCGTCCTGTGCTAAGATACAAGAGGAGGCAGCAAACGTCTGCAGGTATGCATGTCTGTGTGTGTTTGCAGGTCTGACTTATATGTTATGTTATTTTACCACTCCAGTGCTGGACTTACAGTTCTTTAACCTGAAGTGTGTGTGTGTGTGGGGTGGTGGGTGGGGTTGGGGTGGCTGGGTGTGTGTATGTCTTATGTGTGTGTGCAGCTCAGACTTACATGTTGTATAATTTTTCTGTTGCAGTGCTGGACAGACAGTTCTGTACCCTGAAGTGTGTGTGTGTGTGTTGGAAGGGTATGTGTGTGTGCAGCTCAGACTTACATGATTGTATTATGTATTATGATTGTATTGTATTGTATTATGTGCATGTCAGACTTACATTTTTTTTCTATTTTCCTGTTTCAGTGCTGGACAGACAGTTCTGTACCCTGAAGTGTGTGTGTGTGTGTTGGAAGGGTATGTGTGTGTGCATGTCAGACTTACATTTTTTTTCTATTTTCCTGTTGCAGTGCTGGACAGACAGTTCTGTACCCTGAAGAGGAGGAGCAGAACAAATTGCTGAAACTGCTGCTGCTCGAAGGTAAAAATTTCAGCATTTATTTACATGGTTAAACTTACCTCTGTGTGAGGTGGTGTTTGCTGTCTGTCTGTTTGTTTGTTTGCTGATAAAGTTTGTTGTTTTACGCAGGAGAAGACAAAAGTGGTCTGGGGAAGCTGTGTGACATGGCCTGATGGGTTTGGGTGTTTGTTTGTTTGTTGATCCAGTTTGTTGTTTTACACAGGAGAAGATAAAAGTGGCCTGGGGAAGCTGTGTGACATGGCCTGATGGGTTTGGGTGTTTGTTTGTTTGTTTGTTGATCCAGTTTGTTGTTCTGCCCAGGAGAAGATAAAAGCGGTCTGGGGAAGCTGCGGGATCTGATCCTGTTGGACCTGGCTGATCAGCTGACCCACCCTCCGCCAGCCAGTGACAAGACGACCCCTCCTCTCAGGTAAGATAAAACACATTTTAAACACACACACACACACATACACGCACTCACACACTCAGGTGAGATAAAACACATGCATGCAAGCACACACACATACATGTACACACACTCACACACATACAGCCCACCCATCCCCCACAAGTGACAAGACAGCCCCTCCTCTCGGGTAAGATGTCTGATAGAAATCCTACCTGAAGACAAAACTGGTCCTGCCAGACTGTTCAGACACTTCACTATTTAATTCACGCAATGGACAGTTCAGTAGCCCCCATGCTTTCCTCAAGATGTGTGCGGAAGGTCTTTTTTTTGGCATAACGTTTAGTTTAAGAGGATTGAATTTCCCCAAAGATTGAGTTGCCATTACATTTTCTATGAGACGATTGATTCAACTTAATGTTGTCTGTACTTCAGCCTTTACGTTTACATACTTATTAGAGAGGATTGAGTATTAACTGTTGTCCTGATGTTGTCCGTCCCTCAGCAGGCTGAAGGATGATCTGGTGCAGCTGATCCTGAAGCTGTGTGTGCGCGAGTCGTGTGTTCTCCTGCGGACGTGCGTCACAGCAGATCAGCAGGAGTTCAACACCATCGTGTCCTCTGTACCGGTGAGTGTGTGTGTGTCTAGTCTAGTCCAAGTGATGTCAATCTGTTGTCACAAAAATCAATCACAAAATCTTCTAGAGGTCTGAAATGTCTGAATTGTTGTAGATTGATTGATTGCTGATTTATTTATTTATTTATTGACAGAAAGCGTCCCCGTGCCTGCGGTACATCATGGCGCTCCTGTCCCACGTGATGAGCGCCATTGTGATTGATTTATTGATTGATTGCTGATTGATTATTGATTGATTGCTGATTGATTGATTTATTGATTGACAGAAAGCGTCCCCGTGCCTGCGGTACATCATGGCCCTCCTGTCCCATGTGATGAGCTCTATCGTGACCGTCAGCCTCGACAAACACGGCAGCCAGGAGGAGAACAGGACCAACAAGCTGCACGAGGTAAGGCTGCTAGAACAGCATTAAAACAGCACAAGTCCACTGTAAGGACTGGCTGGGTACATTTGTACACACCAGATTCCGCTCATTAGAAAAGTAAAGATATTCATTCTGATGTAATTCAGCCTGTGAAGAGACATTTCTGTGTTTGATGCATTCTGCTGTGTATGGAAACCTGAAGTGTGAAGAAAAGTTTCTTTGTTTGAGGAGTGTGAAGTGAAGTTTGTTTTTGATGTCCCTGCAGATGATCCAGGGGACGGTGTTGGGACTTGCCACGAAGGTCCTGCTTGGATGCCAGGAGGTTAGTAACCTCAGTAACGTCAGAAACATTCAGTAACGTCAGTAATGTCAGTAACCTCAGCAGGAAATACAGAAACCAGACTGGTTACTGACTGCCTGTTGTCAATGATGATTTTTATTGATTTAAACTTCAAACTATGAACTCTGGTGATGGTGGAGGTACTTTTGTCACCTCTAATAATACTTGACCTGACCTCTGAACTATTATGACTGTTGACCTTTCCCCCCTGACCTTAGGTTCTGGAGGAGCTGCTGGACGTTTGTCGCTCCTTCTCCTCCGGCAGCGGGGAGGACCGGGAATGCAGGTTCCAGGGCCTGGAGCGCGTTGCCAAGGCAACGGTTCTGGGGCACCTCCTGCCGGTGCTGATGACATCACTCACCCACGGCAACCTGAAGTACCTGCCGCTGGCCGACGCCCTGATGCCCCAGCTGGTCCAGCTGGTCGTGCTGTCCAGCCAGGTAACTAACTATTTAGCCAGCTAACCAGCTAACACCAACCGTACACAAACAAAATATAATTCTAAAGGAGGAGCTTCTGACTGATGCCAATCCTTCACTGCCTGCAGATTTTGAGTAGTGAAAAGTTTTTTGTTTGTTCCCCAGTGTGCGTTGCTGCTGAAGCCCCAGGCTTGCCGGCCGGGTGCAGAGGAGCCGCCCCCCACCCCCACCTCCGACGTGGTAGAGCTCATCGGGGGAGGCAAGACAGAAGAGTACGTATTACTGTACACTACTGCCTCCTAGCTGCTGCTGATAGTACTGCAGCTGTTGATAATACTGCAACTGTGTGTGTGTGGGAGTGTCGTACCCCCCCCCCACTTCCGACATGGTCAAGGGGGAGCCAAGCAGACAGAGGAGTAAGGCTCACTACTGCCCCCTAGCTGCTGCTGATAGTACTGCAGTGTGTGTGTGTGTTTGTGTGAGAGTTTGTGTGTATTTGTGTATGTTTGTATGTGTTAGGGTTAGGGTGTTTGTCTTTATTGTTGGTTTGGCCCAGTGACCTTAATGTTACTAGGCCACCCTGATTTCATCTCGAGATACTTGGATGTAAAACATACATGTATTCCCTATGACCCCTGACCTTTTGTCTACGACCCCTGACCTCTTCCCTCTGACCCCAGGGCAAAACACGATAGCGAGGATGACGCCGGGTTCCTGTTCGGGGTGAAGATTCCGGCTCCGTGGGCGACCGGGAAGTCGGTGGAGTCCATCCACCCCGTCCGGGACAACTACAAGTTCCGGGAGACTGTTCAGATCCCGGGCGCTCGCTGCCTCTACCTGCGGTTCGACCCCAGGTGTTCATCTCAGTACGACTATGACAAGGTGAGACATCTACATGTATATCTGTATCTGTACAGCTGGTATACTAAAGGTGAGACTGTTCAGATCCCGGGCGCTCGGTGCCTCTACCTGCGGTTCGACCCAAGGTGTTCATCTCAGTACGACTATGACAAGGTGAGACATCTATATCCGTATCTGTACAGCCGGTATAACTGCCCTACACCAAACAACCTGTTACACCTAATGGTGAAATGGTTCAGATCCCGGGCGCGCGCTGCCTGTATCTCCGCTTCGACCCCAGGTGTTCATCTCAGTATGACTATGACAAGGTGAGACGTTTTCTTCCCTTTGGGACATGCAGCGCCTCACGGTGTTACAGCAGGGTACTGCAGCCTGATGTTTCAGTAGTCAGCTATATTCAGTGTTTGTCAATGAATAACAATAGCCTCAATGCTTGTTTTGGTTATATTAGTTTGTTCTGTTTGGCATATACATGTTTGAAGTTCTTGATACTATAGAATCTGTTTGCAGAAAAACTTTCTCATCTGTGTTGGTAGTAATCGTAGTAAAAATAGAGCACATTTGATCTCTTGCTGACATCACGTATCCGTAAAGTCTTGTGTGAATAAAGTCACGTGTCTGAAACCGTAACTCTCACACATTCAGTCTTTAATTATCCTGATGAAGATGACACTGGTCGCAGGAAATTTGATCTCTGTATAACCCTTGTGTTGGAATGAAGTTCAACCTTTTACTAAAAAGAACTTTCTGTTGTTCTCCCATGCAGTTGATGACCTTCGCGGGCCCCAGCACCAGCTGCCGGAAGGTCGCGGAGTACGGCGGGAACACGCTCGGCTACGGCAGTCGGAGCGTGCTCGGGTCGGGGTGGCCCAAGGACCTCGTCAAGGTCAGGGCAAGGGTCAACAGGGGTCAGGGTTAATGGTCAACAGAGTTCAGGGTCAAGGGTCAACAGAGGCCAGGGTTAAGAGTCGACAGGTCAGATGAAGGGTCAACAGAAGTCAGGGTTAAGGGTGAACAAAGGGGTTTTCTTTTTGAGAATGGAGGAATCGTTCCTCAGCTGACTGACGTCTTTTGCACCAGAATTATTTCTCAACAAGGCATCTGGAGCTGCATGGTTCCTGTTTATATAATAGCACCTTTTTCAGACTGGTGTTGCCCCAAAGTCTTCCCTCAATGATAGCCTTGTGCTAGTTGGGCACCCTTAGCTGTATCTTCAACCAAAATACATTGTGTAAATGAACAAAATGAGAGTGATGTTTGGTCATAAATTCTGTTTTGTCATTTTTCTTGAGTTGGAGAACAGTTCAATTATTCTTATTTTACCACCTCAGATGAACTTTCATGCTAGAATAAAATTTCAACTAGAAAAGTAACATTTGCAAAGCAAATGCATAATGTTTACCTTCGGATATGGTCTGCTCTGTTAATTCATACTCAAACACATTTACAAACGTGTATATGGTGACAGGAGTCTAAATGCCTACTATGAAATTGCAACATCATGTAACCCAACACCATAGTAACTGCAGTTACTATGGTGACAGACGTCAACAAAAGAGGCCATTGGCCAGGTCAGAGGTTAGTGTTTGGAACAGATTAGAAGAAATGGAGCAAAAACAATATGTTTTTCCTTCGGTAAACATAATAAACAAATCTTGTTTTTCCCCTCCCTTAGGTTGATGGGGACACGGTGACGTTCTCGTTCGAGATGCGTAGCGGGCGAGAGCATAACACGCCGGACCGCGCCATGTGGGGGTTCCTGATCACCGTCCGCGCACAGGAGGCCTCCGAGGATGTGTCAGGGGGGCTCCCGTTCCTAACAGACCTGGCGCTGGGCCTGTCGGTCCTCGCCTGCAACATGCTGCATATTCTGTATCGTGGACCGGAGGTTACACAGGAGGAACAGGCCTGCAGGCATCTGCTGAAGTCACGGCTGCTGCAGAGGTGAGGAACATGCTCAAACATGCACACACACACACACACACAGACACAGACACACACACAGACACGCACACACACACAAACACACGCGCACACACACACACATACATGCTGCACATCCTGTACCGGGGACCGGAGGTTACACAGGAGGAGCAGGCCTGTAGACATCTGCTGAAGTCAAAATTACTACATAGGTGAGAAACACACACATACACACACTCACACACACACACACACACACACACACACACACACACACACACACACACGCAAACACACACACACAAACACACACACAAACAAGCACAAATACAGAGGAGGAATAGGCCTGCAGGTCTCACATGACAATTTCCCATGTTCCCACAGATGCGTTTGGAAGGTGGAGTGCGGCACGGTGATCTCGCCGGTGACCCCCCCTCCCCACCTGGAGGGGTCGGAGCTGACCTTGACCCGGGGGTCGGGGACGGACACGGAGAAGGAGCCTTCATCGTCGGACGAGGGAACCCCGATGGACGAGGACGTGTCCGTGATGGGCGCCGTCCTGCCGCGGATCAAACTCTCGCCCGCCATCATGCACAAACTCCGCAAACTGTCGGGAAGGGCCGCCCTGCAGTTCAGACCCAGCATCAGGTAACCCATAGCAACCTCACACTCACCCATAGCAACCTCACACTAACCCATAGCAACAATGTCCTGCCGCGGATCAAACTCTCGCCCGCCATCATGCACAAACTCAGGAAGGGCCGCGCTGCAGTTCAGACCCAGCATCAGGTAACCCATAGCAACCTCACACTCACCCATAGCAACCTCACACTAACCCATAGCAACAATGTTCTGCCACGGATCAAACTCTTGCCCGCCATCATGCACAAACTCCGGAAACTGTCGGGAAGGGCCGCGCTGCAGTTCAGACCCAGCATAAGGTAACCCATAGCAACATTACACTCACCCATAGCAACCTCACACTAACCCATAGCAACAATGTTCTGCCACGGATCAAACTCTCGCCCGCCATCATGCACAAACTTAGGAAACTGTTGGGAAGGGCCGCGCTGCAGTTCAGACCCAGCATCAGGTACCTGCACACTGACCCATAGTAACACTAAGTCTAGACCCATAGAAACAATAGGCCCCACTGCATTTCAGAACCGGCATATTTAGGGAACGTTACCCACTTTAAGGTGCAGCAACAATACCCAACTCTAACAACACCCATAGTAGCCCTCTTAGGTCAGGAATAAACTATTAAGCTCAGAATCAATTTAGACAAAAACAAAGTTTTTGATTGGAACAGAAAAGTTTCAACCTTCAACTTGAAAAGGATAAGAGAACCGAGCACCGTACTTTGCCAATGATACATTTTTTATGAAGAAGTGATGAAGTATGTTAATAAAAATTTTGATCCAACACAAAGAAGTTCTCTCACCTAGAGCTGTCGACCAGTCACTCTGGTCTTCCTCAGTAGACTGACCCAGTGAGACAGAAGCCATATGACAAGCCTCACTGGGTCAATCTACTGAGGAAGGCCAGAGTGACTGGTCTAAAGCTCTAGATGAGAGAGCTTCTTTGTGTTGGATCTTAAGTTTTAACTCTAAAAAAATGTAACTACCAACACAGATGAACTTTCATGAAAGTGATTTAAGAATTTTTCCTCCATCCCCCAGAGAAGTTCTTGAGGGATTTGAGGAGTGATCACCGTACTTTGCATATTATACATTTTTTATGAAGAATTGATGAAGCACTTTTTCCTCCTCCCCCAGAGAGGTCCTAGAGCCGGATGTCCTGGAGGAGACGGTGGTTTCCGTGGTGATTAAGCACCTGGGGCTGTTCGAGATTCTTCAGCAGCTCAGCGTGAGTGAAGAGGGGACCCAGACCGCAGACTTCCAGCTTCTCTGTGACATCATGGGGGAGGCGTTCAAGAAACTCAACGCCTTGGAGAGACAGCTGCAGGTGAGACAATGTGTTAGGAAATGTCTTAAGGTGAGAGAAATGTCTTAGGAAGCTACAGGTGAGAAAATGTCTTTAGTTAGGAGCGAGGAGGGAACCCAGACCGCAGACTTCCAGCTGCTCTGTGACATCATGGGGGAGACCTTCAAGAAACTCAAAGCCTTGGAGAGGAAGCTACAGGTGAGGGAATGTCTTGTACAGGTGAGAAAATGTCTTCACAAATGTCTTAAGCAGCCTCAGGTGAGAAAAATGTCTTGTACAGGTGAGAAATTGTCTTAAGCAGACTTCCAGTTGCTCTGTGACATCATGGGAGAAACCTTCAAGAAACTCAACACCTTGGAGAGGCAGCTACAGCTGAGACAATGTCTTATACAGGTGAGGAAACGTCTTACACAGGTGAGAAATGTCTTATACAGGTGAGAAAATGTGTTAGGCAGGTGAGTTATATATAGTTGTATAGTTAGGAGCGACATCATGGGAGAAACTTTCAAGAAACTCAATGCCTTGGAGAGGCAGCTGCAGGTTAGGACAACGTCTTAGACATCTAGGTGAGAAACATTTAAGAAACTGAGAGGAAGGAACCCAAGTCTTAGGAAGCTACAGGTGAGTATAACCTGATTTAACAAGAAGAAGCAGAAAGAAATAAGCCCACAGTTTGATTACCTTCATCACTAAGGTATGATCAGTCATTGTACTGTTAATTTAGATCTTTGTGGGAATCTCTGGATTTGCTACTCCTGACCTTGGTTTGCCCTTGACCCCCTGACCTTGGTTTGCCCTTGACCCCCGACATTGGTTTGCCCTTGACCCACTGACCTTGGTGTGCCCTTGACCCCTGCAGGCACTGGCGGAAATGGAGCAGAAATGGCAAAACGACGTGGATGAGGCAGGTCAAGGTCAGCTGCACGACAACACGCCCTTCTTCCTGAACTTCCACCTGCAAGAGGTAGGGGGAGCTGCTACTTTTTATACAATTTCTACAATTTACAGTTTTACACAAGCTACTTTTACAGAGCTCATGTAAACCATCACAAAAGCATCACATCGGCAGAACGTACTGCACCTGCACGAATCCCGTAATGTATTGTGTATAGCACTTCGAGGGAAGGTCTCAAATTAGCGCATATTCGCATATACAAGGTTAACATCCTGTCTATTGTTTTCAAATGTTGTGTGCTCACAAAAGCAAACCTGATTTTTTATTAAATAAATTCATTAAAACCAAAGTGTTTTGGCTGGCATGACTGTTAATACCTCATTTGTGTTTGTGCAAATACAAAAAGTCAATGTATAATGTATAATGTGAAAAGGTTAAACTTCAAACATAACCTTTAGACTGCTGACGTGTTAAAACATTGTCTTGGTTGCCCAGACGACCAGGAAAGATCTCGCCCTGCTCTGCTACTTAAAGGAGGTGGAGCTGAACCCGGTCGACCTTGAGGGCACCATCAAGACGCTGAAGGAGCTGTTTGACAAGGACGTCTCCATGGCGATGAAGGAGCGGCCGTTCCTGCTGAAGACGCGGCTGCTGCTGGAGAAACTTCTCGCTCGGGCGGAGCTCCTGCTGCACGTTACCATAGAAACCGAGGAGAGCGGCCCGGGATTGGCCAGGAGCATGTCACAGCATCCCAGCAGTGAGTAGTAGGGCTGCGTACCTTTTCGTAACATCAGGTACAGGTACAGGTACAGAGGTTTAACAAGTCCAGGTCCAATATAGGGATTGGCCAGGAGAACATCCCAGCAGTGAGTACTGACTCAGGTGCAGTCTGATTCGTTAGTTCTGAGATTTTTTAATCTGTTTTGTAGTTAATTGGCTTGCTGACAATGTGCCAGAACCAAGATGACTAACCATGTCTTCCCACCCACCCCCCTCAGGCATGCCCCCTGGGGGTGACGTCCCGCTCGTGTCCCCTCATCTGGCCAGGAGCATCTCCGCCCCCTCAACGTTCGACGCCGAGTCTGGAGGCCTTTCCCAGGGGAGGGCCGATCTGGGCAGTACAGGAAGGTAAGACACTGAACACTCCCAAACACCTGTCAATATCAACTGCAACAGATGTTTGTTTGTTTGTTTGTTTGTTAGAAGAGGCAGTGAGGCCGAGTGGTGATTTGAGTGATGATCGCTTGTTTATTTGTTAGATGGAAGCGTGATGTTTGTTTGTTAGGTGGAAGCGACAGCGAGGCTAGGCCGTGATGTTTGTTTGTTTGTTAGGTGGAAGCGGCAGCGCGGCCAGGCCGTGATGTTTGTTTGTTTGTTAGGTGGAAGCATGATGTTTGTTTGTTTGTTAGGTGGAAGCGGCAGCGGGGCCAGGCCGTGTTCCTACAGGAGCTAGTCGAGGACCGGGGAAAGCCGGACAAACCGGCGCACGCGGTCCTGTTGGACCAGCTGTTCAGCTTCATCGGAAGCAGCCTGGAGGAAAACGTGTCGTGTTCCAGCTTCCTGTCGGCCGCCTCGGTACGCTGGCAGCGCGGGAACTCACGCAAACAGGTGACTAAACTTTACTCACGCAAACAGGTGACAAAACTTTCCTTGCTGAATCCGTGAATGGTTTCGTTTAATTTGTAAGTCATCTATCATGTGTATTGTGTTTTGATGAATAAACCTTTCCCGCAAACAGGCGCTGGTGCACATGGTGGAGCTTCTGACAGCCGCGGCCCGGGTCGGCGGGGCGACGCATCTCGTGTCAGCTGTCACCTCCGTACTGCAGCACGGGCCAAAGTAAGGGTCATCATAGGTCAAGGTTCACCATAGGTCAGGGTGCTCAATAGGTCAGGGTTTATCATATGATAAGGTTTACCATATGTCAAGGTACACTATAGGTCAAGGTTACCATAGATGAAGGTTCACCATAGGTCAAAGTGCTAGTTGCAAAGTTTGCTGTACAGTTGGTTTAAATTGTTCCATATGGTTGGACCTGAAGTGAGTAAAAAGAGTGAGTGAAAGTGAGTAATTACCTGAGTGTGTTACCTGCAGGGTGGAGGAGCTGACCTGTGGCGGGATGGTGAACCAGGTGTGAGAGTGAGTGAAAGTGAGAGTGAGTGAAAGTGAGTAATTACCCGTGTTACCTGCAGGGTGGAGGAGCTCACCTGTGGCGGGATGGTGAACCAGGTGTGAGAGTGAGTGAAAGTGAGAGTGAGTGAAAGTGAGAGTGAGTGAAAGTGAGAGTGAGTGAAAGTGAGTAATTACCTGTGTTACCCGCAGGGTTGAGGAGCTGACCTGTGGCGGGATGGTGAACCAGGTGTGAGAGTGAGTGAAAGTGAGAGTGAGTGAAAGTGAGAGTGAGTGAAAGTGAGAGTGAGTGAAAGTGAGTAATTACCTGTGTTACCTGCAGGGTTGAGGAGCTGACCTGTGGCGGGATGGTGAACCAGGTGAGGGAGGCTTTTGCGGAGACCATGACGTCAGTGGTGCAGCTGGCCTCCACCTACCCCATCGCCTGCTCCAACAGCATCGGCCTGCTCTGTGTCATCCCTTACACCAGGTACGCAGGTCAAGGTTCAACATAGGTCATGGGTCAACATAGGTCATGGGTCAACGTAGGTCAATGTTCACCATAGGTCAAGGCTCAACATAGGTCAAGGTCACCATAGGTCAAGGTTCACCATAGGTCAAGGTTCACCATAGGACAAGGTTCACCATAGGCCAAGGTTCACCATAGGCCAAGGTTCATGATGGGTCAAGGTTCACCATAGGTCAAGATTTACCATAGGACAAAGTTCACCACAGGCAAAGATTTACATGTACCAAAGGGTGGACACTAGCACACCTTACAATTTCAGGGCTGAGGAGCGTTGTCTAGTTCGCAGCGGTTTGGTGCAGCTGCTGGACAAACTGTGCAGCCTGAGCAGCTACTGGGACCAGAGTAACACCAAGACGTACTAACACTTCCCTTACACTGCTGTTATATTAACCCTTACACTGCTGTGTTACAGGGCTGAGGAGCGTTGTCTAGTTCGCAGCGGTTTGGTGCAGCTTCTGGACAAACTGTGCAGCCTGAGCAGCTACCGAGACCAGAGCAACACGGAGACGCAGACCATCAAGCAGCGCGTGTCGGCCATGGCGTGGGCCGGGTTCCAGGTGCTGTCCAACCGCTGCGTCATGTGGGAGGACGAGGAAGGTCAGCAATTTAACATTGTAACAAACATTGGTGTGAGACCCACTAACAAACGTTGGTGTGAGACCCCCCAGTAACAAACGTTGGTGTGAGACCCCAGTAACAAACATTGGACAGGTGTGATACCCGAGAAACAAACATTTGTGTGATTCCCCACTAACAAACGTTGGTGTGATTCCTCAGTAACAAACGTTGGTGTGATACCCCAGTAGCAAATGTTGGTGTGATACCCAAGAAACACACATTGGTGTAAGACCCCAGTAACAAATGTTGGTGTGAGACCCCACTAACAAACATTGGTGTGAGACCCCACTAACAAACGTTGGTGTGAGACCCCACTAACAAACGTTGGTGTGAGACCCCACTAACAAACGTTGGTGTGAGACCCCACTAACAAACGTTGGTGTGAGACCCCACCAACAAATGTTGGTGAGACCCCACTAACAAATGTTGGTGTGAGACCCCACAAACAAGTGTTGGTGTGAGACCCCACTAACAAACGTTGGTGTGAGACCCAAATAACAAACGTTGGTGTGAGACCCGACTAACAAACATTGGTGTGATACTCTAGAAACAAACACTTGTGTGAGACACCTGTTACAAACATTGGTGTGATACCCCAGTAACAAACATTGGTGTGAGGCCCCACTGAAAACGCTGGTGTGAGACCTCTACCAAATATTGGTGTGATACCCGAGAAACAAACATTTGTGTGAGTCACCTGTTACAAACGTTGGTGTGATACACCGCCCAGGTGCAGCCAGTGCGGTGGAGCACAGTGGCTTGGCGCGGCAGGTGTCGGCTCTGCTGACCAATCACCTGGCTCGAGCCACCGAGTGCAGCGGAGACGAGGCGGCCGGGACGGAGGCTCTGCAGGAGGTTCTCAGTCTACTCAACAACCTGTCCAGGTGGGGAGGCTCTCGCAGGGGTTTTCAGTCTCTGGAATTAGAATTTTTGAAAAATTTTTGAAAAATTTTGAAAAAGCCATTGACTCGATTGAGACTCATTTCCGTTTCTTTTTTGTCTTGACTTTTCCAACTTCATTCCTTTTGGACTTTCCAAAAAATTTGTCTTCACTTATTTTCCTATCAATCAATAGTTCGTGCTTTTCTGACAACTTTCCAGTGTCACTGACAAAAGGTAGTAGATGCCATCTGAAACGTCTGACTGTTTCCAAAATCATATCCAGTTGCTTAGATAACTTTTTATGGCAAATTCCATTTCTTACCAAAATTTGATTTGTTTAGGAGTAATCTGTGTTGGTAGTTACATGTTTAAAGTCAAAACTTTAGATCCAACACAAAGCAGTTCTCTCACCTAGAGCTTTTGACCAGACACTGGGTCAGTTTACTGAGGAAGACCAGAGTGACTGGTCGAAAGTTCTAGTTGAGAGAACTTCTCTGTGTTGGATCAAAAGTTTTGACTTTAAACACATTCCATTGTCTTTTGATCTAATTCCGTTAAGAGGTTTACCAAAGATTTGATTTTGTGCCAGGAGTAAGCTGGGCAAGGCGATCCTGAGCCAGCCGGCCTGCGTCTCCAAACTACTGTCACTTCTACTGGACCAGCGGCCATCCCCCTAGCTGCTGCTGACAGTACTGCAGCTGTGCAGGGTGGCCTTACCTCTCATCAGGTGTGTACTGCCCCCTAGCTGCTGCTGATAGTACTGCAGCTCTGCCGGGTGGCCTTACCTCTCATCAGGTATGTACTGCCCCCTAGCTGCTGCTGATAGTACTGCAGCTGTGCAGGGTGGCCTTACCTCTCATCGGGTATGTACTGCCCCCTAGCTGCTGCTGATAGTACTGCAGCTATTACCTCTCATCAGGTATGTACTGCCCCCTAGCTGCTGCTGATAGTACTGCAGCTGTTACCTCTCATCAGGTATGTACTGCCCCCTAGCTGCTGCTGATAGTACTGCAGCTGTGTGTGTGTTTGTATGTTTGTGTGTGTATGTGTTTGTGTGAGTGAGTGTGTGTTGTGAGTGTGTGCGTGTATGTGTGTTTGTGTATATGTGTGTGTGTTGTGTGTGTGTGTGTGTGTGTAGGATTATGAGTAGTAAAGGTTGACCCTTCTATCCCCCCACAGTGCGGAGGACTGTGAGTAGTAAAGGTTGACTCTTCTGTCCCCCCACAGTGCGGAGGACTGTGAGTAGTAAAGGTTGATCCTTCTGTCCCCCCACAGTGCGGAGGACTATGAGTAGTGAGTAGTAAAGGTTGATCCTTCTGTCCCCCCACAGTGCGGAGGACTATGAGTAGTGAGTAGTAAAGGTTGACCCTTCTGTCTCCCCACAGTGCGGAGGACTATGAGTAGTGAGTAGTAAAGGTTGACCCTTCTGTCTCCCCACAGTGCGGAGGACTGTGAGAAGATCCAGCTGCCGTCCTGGGGGCAGGACATGCACGTGTTCGATGGAGGGATCCAGGATCCTGCAGCCCGAATCGCAAGCCTTCTGCTCGCCAAGCTGGGAGACTATGTGGTCCCTGGTACGTATGCAGCTATTCTTTGAGTAGTACAGTCAGAGCCTTTTGTGTCCCATCAGTGCAGAGGACTTTGAGTAGTAGACTATGTGGTCCCAGGTATGCATCTATAATTCTTTGAGTAGTATAGTAAGAGCCTTTTGTCTCTCCTAAGTGCGGAGGACGGTGAGTAGTAGACTACAGTATGTGGTCCCAGGTATGGATGACTTCCTGGTTCCTTATCCCAGTAAAAATTCTGAACCCTTTAGGTGTATACATCAGGTTTGCTTTTTAGCATGAAAGTTCATCTGTGTTGGTATACTTCATTATGACAAAAAGGACTAAACGTTCAGGTAAACACTAAGTAAATTCTGATGGAGTCGGCCAAAAATTTGGATGAGTCCCAATTTACTCTGTTGGGCTGAACGTTTAGCCCTTTTTGTTATAATCAGGTTTGCTTGTTTAGGTGTTCAGACCACTTTGATTCAGATTTGTTTGTTTGTTTATCTAGGAGCCCAGACCACGTTGTCCCATGTTTGCTTGTTTGTTTATCTAGGAGCCCAGACGGTGTTCAGACCACTCTGATTCAGGTTTGTTTGTTTATTTGTTTGTTTGTTTAGGAGCCCAGACGGCGCTGTCCCTGGCGTCCCCCGACCACTCCCAGCCGTCGGCCCCGGCGTCTGCAGCAGTGCATGGTGGGACTGGCGATCGGGAACGCTTGGAGGAGACGGAGGCTCAGGACGGACGAATCGCGGTGTACGTACACAAACGGGAGGACCAGAGTTCACACGAGGTCATCCAGCCGCTACTCAGGTAATCACACGTGCTGTAGCAGGCACCTGGTGGTGTTGTATTACACCTGGTGGTGTTGTATTACACCTGGTGGTGTTGTATTACACCTGGAGGTGTTGTATTACATGATATATGTACGTGCACAAACGGGAGGACCATTATGGATATGTTAATAGTTGTTTAAGTGTTGTGGAGATGTTGAGAGATGTGTTGTTTTTGGTTGTTTCAGCTGTGACGGTCGTCCGTTCAGACTGGGCAGTGGAGCCAACATGGAGAAGGTGGTCAGGATGGACAGGGACCTCACCAGGGTGAGTTTTATACCGGTTACACAGTCATCACACATGCATGTACCCCACACATATCCAATCCATGGCGCAACAGATGCTTAGAACTGAACTTGTAGTCAGACTTGTCAGAGCAGGAAGTGCAGTTTTCATAACTCCTGCTGCATGTTTTTCCCATCAGAGCGGTCGGGCAGAGGTAATCACAGAAGACGCGGTAACAGCCACATGTAACCATTCCCAAACATGCAAATAGTGCATGGGAATCTTCCTATTTATGCTAATGTTATTATCCTTGTAGAGCGGTCGTGCGGAAGTGATCACAGAAGACGCAGTAACAGCGATCCGGCGAGCGGCAAAGTGGGCTCAAGCGGGTCTGGTGGTGAGCACGGGACCTCCCGCTGACGGGACCGGCCAGGAGGGCGGCAGCACGGACCGCAAACGCATGGCTTCTTCTGCTGTCTGTAGGGAGAAAAATGCTGAGCTGGCCAGGTGGGAATTGTTGTCTCAGAAAATGAACTTCATAGAGTTTGTCAGAATATAAATTTGAATCTCTTTATATTGCAATTGATGTCAGGCACATTCTAACTTTTAACACACCTGTTGTTCCTCCAGAGCTGACCCCGTGCGACCCTTCATCAGTGGACAGGTGGCCAACAGCATGGCAGGCGAGGTCATCGGCCTTCTGCACGGGCTGCTGACGGCGCCGGAGTCCAGCACGGCTCAGATCTGGGCGTCAGCTGTGGAGAGGGTGAGTTAACCAGCTGTTAATCATTAGTTAGTGACTAGTTAACGACTAGTTAGTTATTTTGCGACTCCAGGAAGAATAGATTTCATGTAAATCTAATGGAGATCGAATAAACAAACAATAAACAAACAAACTAACCATGGGCTGTCCTACCTGTTGCCCCCAGGTGCTGACACATCCCACTACATTTGACCCGATGCCCCCAGTGCTGACCTGTGCCCTGCCCTTTGACCCCCAGGTACTGATCAATGCCCTGATCTTTGCCCCCCAGGTGCTGACCCATGCCCTAACCTTTAACCCCCAGGTGCTGACCCATGCCCTAACCTTTAACCCCCAGGTGCTGACCCATGCCCTAACCTTTAACCCCCAGGTGCTGACCCATGCCCTGCCCTTTGCCCCCAGGTGCTGACCCATGCCCTGCTCTTTGACCCAGGTGCTGACCCATGCCCTGCTGTGCCTGCCCACGCTGCTGACCCAGTCGGACGCCGTGCTGTCCCCGTCCTCCAGCGGCCCGGCCATCGCAGACTTCCTCACCACGGCACGGCAGGTCGTCGCAGCGCTTTGTGCTCTCGGGGGATTCAGGGAGGGCGTCAAGCCGGGAACTATGGTGCAGGTATGTTAAGCCTGGCACGTTGGTATGTCACTCACACTCACTCACACTAAGTCACTGTGATATTTTTAATATTTATTCAGTGATTTCCATGATATGCATGTTCTGGCAGTCACAGGAGAGGG